TATTAATAGGTCAGGGGATGTCTATCAGAAGAATATTATCACGTACCAATACTTGGGTTTAGAGAATCGTAGCCAATCACTGTATTTTACTACTCTTCAAATACGAAGGCGAGATACAGGTTGGCAGGGATCAAATATATGTACAAAGTCTTCTTTTTCCGCAGAACTGGTGCGATATATGTTACATACATATTACTACTATGGGATATATAACAATAACAAATTTTTATTGCTTCTTCATTACGTTCTATTTATTGAAAAGGAAAAGTTTTAGATAACACAAAATAATGAGTAGGTAACTATTTACTGTAACGTCACATTAGCGACTGATGCATTAAATACACTCTAAAGAAACTTGGGAGAAAAAACATGGAAACCATCACCAACGCCATCAGTCTCTGACGTCACCGCTCGCAACGTCAATATATATTTATTGCCTTTGCAGGCAGAGGAGAGTACGGACCACCTGATGGTAAGCGGCTACCGACGCTTATGGACGTCAGCAATGCCAGGAGCAGAGTCAAGCCGCTACCTACCCTTGAGTTCTATCCACAGGGCTCGTTTGAAGAAGGACATGTCATAGCACTCGGGAAACAGCGTAGAGAGAAGTTCATTCCAAAGCCGGATGGTATGTAGCGTTTCAATGTCGATGAACGCAGCGGTTCCGGATAATATGGATGAACTCTGCTCCGGTGGCGGGAGGTGCGATGGTAAAAAGAAGATGAGGGGATCATCTCGAACAATATTCTCAGAGCATTCCCCGTGGAACATACGGTACAAAACGCAGCCCCTCCGTAGACCCAGAAGTTCCAAGCGATCCGCGAGAACGGGACTGACTGAGTCAGATGGAAGCAGCTGGTATTTGGGAACCCCGGCCCAGAGGTGAGAGCAGAACTCCACGCGAGGCCAGACCTGTGCTCTGTAAAGCGCAAGTATTTGTCCAGGCGTGAAATAACACTTCGCTCTATTGAGGACTTCCAATATTTTAGAGGCCAATTTTATTAGAAGCCGATAATTTGATTAAAATATACGATATAAGATATGCAATAATCATAAAAACAAAGCACATTCAATACTTTCATGAATATTTTCGTAATCTGGGCACTTGAAAACATTACAATTTGATAAGATATCCAGGGCAACAAAAAAAGATTTTTTTGTAGAGCTGTGTTATTATTATGTTGTGTCGTCGTGTAATGGCTATCGCACTCACAGCACCAGAAAGTTTGACTGGCTCACGGCAGAGATATGTATACAGGATGGCGGTACCTCTCCATGCACGCTTAGATCCGTCAACGTCCTACCAAATATCTGCGTTCGACTTTTCTATAATAAAATAAGTACGTTTCTTTTCGATCAATCACGTATATAATTATTGCACAATGCTCCAATAAAACACAGAGTCGGCAACTAAATGTAGGTACAGGTACACACGTCATATTATTTTTAATTTAAGTAGCTAAATTGCAAAGAATGGAACGTGTAATGTGTATTGGTGCCTAGTGCGAGTTTTTTAACTTCATAATTAAGCGCGTTAAAGTTAACTCAATTTTTTATGGAGTTGGAACAGCGCCCCTCACGGCAAAGGAAGGGAAGCTGTTCCAACTCTATATAAATTTGAGTTAACTTTTACGCGATCGAAAAGTGAAAAAACTCGCACTGAGCACACTGATCATCTGTACCAGTGGTTTTACTATGAGATTGTGAAAATTGGATAGATTAAATTTGGAATATAGATTAAACTGTGCATGTGATACTTGCGACTAATATAATTAATTTTATTACGCGTTCACCTTGACACTGAACCGTGAATATTAACTCTGAACACGGAATCCTTGGCAGGCACCTGTCCTCTATACAAACTTGACCGGTTTTGTGTTAATCTCTCCAATGTACAGAAATATCTTTACATTACGTTTAGCTATTCATATATACCACGTTGTTACCTTATCGAATTTATTGTATATCTTGTCGTATCAGCGATATTGGAAGGCATTTTCTATATGATTTTGCAAGATTTCGTAAAAATACCGCTCGTTACTAATATTGCTAATAAGGCCTAAAGAATAAAACTTCCAATCACCAATAACTTATGAACCAATTTTTCTTATGAAATACGTACTTATCAAATGTTCACGATGGACTTCCACGCAGGAATAATGTCTTGTTAAAAATCAAGCTCGCAAAATTGTAATTCGCGTAATTACTGGAGGTAGGATGTTTTGTGAGTGAGCACGGGTAGGTACCACCGCCCTGCCTATTTCTGCCGTGAAGCAGTAACGCGTTTCGGTTCGAAGGGTGGAGCAGCCGTTGTACTGTTGGGCTCCTTTTGAAGGGCACGGCTGTGCATTTCGTGAGATTGATATCAATTTATATTCTTAAAGTCTATGAACCACCATCGGATTGCCTTATGTTTCATTCTAAAACAATCAAACAAGAACAATTTTCATATCAACATAAGAAACAAAATTACCTATTGTTTCCGTAACACCTTTTAGCTATAAGCCAGATTCAATTTAGCAATTGTACTGAATCGTACTGTGACACTATCAACAATTCGCAAAAATCTTTAATAATAACATCTGGTCGATGTTCTCCATTCTATCCTAAGAACCACCGACTAACAATTACGACATTACTATTTGATACATATTGAATACTTTTTGTAGGCAGACGAGCATACGGCCCACCTGATGGTGAGTGGTTACCGTCGCCCATGGACTTCAGCAGTGCCAGGGGCAGAGCCAAGCCGCTGCCTACCGCTAAACCGCTACCGTTTATTATATATATATTAAATTTTCAATCGCCGCGTACCATACACAGATGACATCACGGCCCACTGAGTATTAAGTATCGTGCGCCCACCCACCTTCAAACAGCTGAAGTCCCAATAAAGTAGTATCGTAAAAAGTAGGGCCTTCGAAACGGAACCTAAGATGCTTTGCGACACAAATATGCACAGCAGCGGTACCACTCCTTGCGGACTCAGCCACAATACTACCAATCAGAACTTCAAAATCTGCTAGATTAATTTGTTTATTAATTACTTAAAGGTAGGTAACTAACTACCTGACGACTAAACAGTGTCAGCCCTATCGAAAAACTCTATATGTGATCCGATTCACCTAAATGTCAGATGAATCTAGTTTGTTAAGTTTTTGTGTATATTTTGCAATGAAATATGTATACTCGTAATAATGCATCGTATATGAAAATTTGATCTCAATTTTATTGGTATAAAACCGCTGAAAATTTGGATTGGAGTTGGAAGGTGTCCCGGTTCCCCCAAATCTACAGTAATGTTCGGTACGCTTATTTATATACAGTTCGCATAAAATTTTGAAGTCGTTTGATTTTAAATTAGCGCTTTCCTCATCGTTTCTGTTCACGCGTATCCAAGAACTAATCAGTTGTTTTTGTACAATAACACAAATGCGCATTTATCGCCATCGTTGCGTCACGAGCTCGTACTGATGACTCATTATTTAATTATTTTATCGAAATAGCAGAGCACACCAATTAAAAGCCTACGGCTTTACTCGGCCGATAACTGACCATCCGCATTATCAACGCTATGCAGAGAGACAAGGTGAGGCTGCTTACAACGGACCGACGATAGGAAAGAAAAGAAAGAACTATTGACTCGAGGTTGCTGAGATTACATAGTCGTGTTTTTTTAATTAATGGCAAGTTATTATAATGTTATATTGCCTTGTCCTACATTCTACGTAAACTACAATAAATCGGCTAGTTTCAGGCAAAGCAATAACTAATCAAACAGACTTTCAAACAGTACCTACGTGAAATAAATGCAGTGAATTATCCAACGAACGCTAAGCTCACTCTGAACAAGTTTAACACAAGGTCAACACTAATTTGGTTTTATCATACGAATGATTTTAACAAGCTAATGTTCTGAGTATTAACTCAGTCGTTAAAATTAAAATTGTCGACATAAAATTTTAATTCAATTTACCATTTTTTGTTACCAGTTTCTTAATATAATTAATTGAATCAATCGGTCACAAAAATACGTAGGGATGCTGGTAATTTGACTGAATCATTGGCATGAAATTATAATCGACAGCAAAATGCGGGTTCTTTGTTATAAACTAAGTACAGCCCTACGTACGCGGCTAAGTCAAATCATAAGCAAGTGTGTACACTACATAATTTCACGAACGGCTATGTACCACGCTGGAAGACGATTACCGTGTTCAAAAAATTTTACTCGTATTGCTACTTGTCTATAAAATAATGAAAAAGAAAACAAGAAAAATATTTTGTCACACCACGAAGTAACAATCATCTGCACTGACAAAATCGCGGATAATTTAACTAATCTTTTCCATGGGGTGGTGGAGACTGTTCCCAGAGTCGAAACGAAGCTCTAACTTATATATTATTATAAGTATAACTTTATAATATAAAATTTAACTAGACAATTATTTTAACATAATTTTGTTAGTGACTATGACGGTTGAAAAATCAAGCAGATTCAAGACTTGTAAAGGGTTATTGTGCCATATTTAATGTCGGTCACGGAGTCGGGAACACTTGTTGCTGGTTTGTTTAGGATTTGGATCCGCTTCGAGCAACCCAATGACCTTACGTGGTAGGGCCGGGCCGACCTTATCCACAATAGCTCGGCTTGTGTCAGGACATTTCGATACTGGCTCAAGTTACTGTGTCACGTCTACATGACCGTAACAATAAACGTGAAAAGGAGATTTCCCTCGTCAAACGTAACCAACTGAACTATATTTCATCAAACTTATTGTTATTTTGGAGGTTTTTGCTTTTTTTCCCACCTAGCCTGATAGCCTTGAGAGGCTATTTCAGCGTAACCTTAACTAGTAGGTAAGCTCATGGGGCTCAAACCGGAGTGAAGTGTGATATTTTGATTTGTCCAAGAAGTTGCCTTTCTTATAATGCAGTAAGTATTGCTGTCACATAACCTGAAATGTTAGGAGACTGGACACAAGGGAGGTTAGACTTACCCTAGAGTCGTAGACCCTGGTGAGCGTGTCGTATCGGATGGAGCCGAGGAAGATAACCGCCTGGGCGCTGCCACCCCGCCCTCGCGCGACCAGCTCCACGCACACCATCTCGCCATCTCGCACCACGATGTCACAGAACACCTGCCGATACATTGTCCACCTTAATTAAATTAAATCAAGCAATTGTAATTTAGTAATTAAAATATAGATACGTAAATATAGTAATTATGGATTATTCTTACATTTGTGTATTGCGTATTGACGCACCTATTACAATATTTCTATGCATGTGCGATGTTTTCAACGTCAAATACCTAAATAGCAAATCGGTAAACATGGACAAAATACGAGTAATCTAAGTAGAGTGCGAGCTCTAGTTGCGTGCAGTTGTACAGCGAGCCCTTTATTGACAGTAACGTTGCATAATCCGCAGTCTGTCTGTATGTATACCCTGTATAACCAGATCCGGGCTAGGTGTATAGTGTATACATATGCCATTTCCTCGAACAAGAACACAATCTCCATCCGGCACGTATCAGTGCGACGATATCGAACCTCATCGTGATAGCGAGTATCCTGATAAGATTATCACGAGTTCGGTCGACTTGCACCGGTATATCTTGATATGAAAACAATAGTAATCTCGACGTTTTTTCGTTCCGTTTAATGTGCGGACATTTTATTGCCAAGACCCTGGTCCACTAACACCGTTTTCCCAGCTTACTATACTTTATAAATCAATAACAACGAACGGAGATTAAATCTATAAACCTGTTCAAATCTCGGTGCCTAAGATAGGCTAATTGTCGGTACAAACTACAATAACCATGAATACCAACGCTGCATTGTGATATTACGTCTAGGTCAAATTTGGGCTAATTAATGAACAAAAGTTCCACATTCAGCGGCCCCAAGCTACATGCGACATTCTATTGTGTTGTGGGTAGAGACGACCAAAATAAATATACTACCCTAACAACAACAAAATATAACAATTGCTTGATTAATAAAAACTTTCATTTTATGTTGTATTTTATGTATCATCTTTATTCTGAGAAGTCACCTGGGGTCGGCGCAACATGTTTTCTCCTTCCATACTCTTCTATCATATACCATTTCTTCGCTCACTCCCCTCTTACCCATATCGTCTTTCACGAAATCCATCCATTTTTTCTTAGGTCTACCTTTTCCTCTATATCCTTCCACAATCATAGTTAACATTTTCTTACCAACCTCATTTCATCTCATCACATGTCCATATCATCCCAAACGCGCACTTCTCAGCTTCTCTGTCACAGATGCCACTTTCAGACTTCCTCTAACATATTCATTCCGTATTCTATCCATTCTCGTTACTCCACACATCCATCGCAACATTCGCATCTCTGCTGCATGCAATCGCCGCGTTGTATTTTATGTATATTGGATAATAAATGACTAAAGTAAGACGAGCCTCTTATATTTTTTTACGAATCGTAACAACTTCAGATAGTACTAGGGTACGATGCTTTGCGATGTAACGAAACTGCTTAGCAGTATATATATAGGGAGGTAACTTGACACGAGTAGCTCATATTCATATAACTGTGTGATACGAACATTTCGTATCGTATAACAAACGCACACCGGCGCGGCGTCCGGTCCGGCTCTCGGCCGAGGTTGTTATTAAACGGAATGAAATCTGCTAAAATTTTATATTTAAATTCGAATCCTTCGCAAAATAAACTCGAGTTAGCTTTATTTGTAACGACGGTATAAATATGTGCAACTCTTTCATGGCGACAATAATCGCATAGCTGATAAAGACTTTATTATAAAACAATTATATTAATTGGAGCAAGTTCTCTTATCCCATTGATAACATTAATACGTCAGTGACAGAGCGACGTTACACAATACATTCATATACCTAGGACGACGGTTTACTTTCATTTGCTTGCTGCTCCATTAAAGATCGTTTTGTCGGGACATCATCGATGTATGACTGGCTAAAATGCATCCAGTGAATCGACTTGATGAGTGCTCGTGTACTTAATAACAATACAGTGGAAGTTTGGGAGCTATGAGAGATCACACGAATACATATACATACATACTGCAGAACTGCTCTTTAAAAAACGCATAATTAAAATTACCTTTGTAATTTAATATCACGCTTATTATTTTCGTTTAAAGTAATTATAATATCCATCGTTTCGAATATCGTTTCCGTAACCGTGAACAAGTAAGTTAGGTATATGGACTTTCATTGGGTTTAGATTTAACCGAGGGTGGCTACGGTCAGGTACTTATTAATTCAGTTCAATATTGAGCTTGGATCGAGCAATTCAAATAATTTTACAGTCGAAAGAGATCTTTATGTCGTTTTCGACAGATTATTATTTGAGTTTTTACAATTATAATACTATTAATTCATATAATATCTACCATTACGCAAATTAAAACACTTAATTATTTGAGCACGAAAATTATCAATTATTAGAACGTTTACTTACAACGACTAATACGTGTAATAAAAAAGGACTTTAGATAAAGTGTAATCATATCGAGCGGTGCGATGTCAAATCCCGCAGACGGGTACCAATTTTTCTGGTAATGAAATATGTACTTAATTTATTTCACGAATGAGTTCGACGATAAAACACTAACATCCTGACATATCAACAACAAAACTCGCGATACTGATAATTTGCGTAATAACTTAGATTATTAGATTCCACTTCTCAAAGGTGGCGGCATTGTCGTTGTGATGTCTATTGCACGTGAGCTCTTAAACCCGTCCATGGAATAAATATATATAAGTTAACGCATATCAGACTACGTCCTAATCGAGTAACAAATCTATTTAAATTATCCAAAGTATTGCAATAGTTTCCGTTCAAGAAATGAATCAAACGGAAACCAAACAAATATCTCCGAGGTAATTAGCACCTGACGATACACATACTCGTGGCCGCTGCCAACGTTGTAATTGAATTAGGAAGTATCATGGTGATTACTATTTCCATTCCACACTGACTGATTCACGAGGCTCATCGTCTCATCCTTGACGTCAGGCGAGCCAACATGCCGTATGACTGGATCAGCTCTCAGTATCCTGGTCATAAACGAATACCGGGCCAACAGACATTACAACACGTATGTATGTAGCTGTCGCAGTACAGTAGGAATAATGACGAACCAAACTTACTGCTACGAACTTTAACTGAATAGGCAGCAGCTTGGTGATATTTACGAGCGACGATGACCACTCATTCTCATATGGGCTCGTCTGCCTATACTAGAATAAAAAAATGTATGTAAATAAAATTACTTACTTATAATTTGTACTCAGTCCTTGCCGAAATGACGAATAGCAGCGATATTATTTTGTGATTCGAGTTAAATACTCCACGAGTAGCCAAACAACATCAGTTCAGCAAACAGCGAATATTAAAAAGACATTAATCGATCGAAAGCGACTGACTGGACTCCTGCAGCCGAACGCGGTTCCGTCATGTTATTGTCAGTGATTTTTTTGTAACAACCTCTAAAGCAACATGTACGATACGACCCCAATAAATAATTTCAACTAAATTCGTCATTTTATTATTATCAGCCTATATCACAACAGATTTCCGTACCTTATTTTAAAACTTATTAGCTAAATAATCTTTTATTAGTTATTGTTTAATAATCAACTACTAACATTTAATAAAAAAATAAATAAAAGTTGTATAAGGAAAGACGAGACATAAATAGCTAAATAGCAAGAGCAAACAGCAAGTCGCTTGGTGAGTGCGCCATCTAATGTGTAAAATGAGTCATCAATTACTATACTTAGTTGTGCTGTACCGCGAAAATATTTCGTATTGTAAAACTCGAGAACGGCTGGACCGATTTGGCTAATTTTGGTCTTGAATTATTTGTGGAAGTCCAGAGAAGGTTTAAAAAGTAGTTAAATATGAAAATGCTCGGAATTAAATAAAAATACCAATTTTGCTTTTCCTTTGATGTGTCCCCCGTCGGACGGATTCCTTTTGTTTGTTTTATTTTATGCAAAAGTTTAGGTCTTTTATTTATCCATTGAGGCACTACGAAGTCTGCCGGGTCAGCTAGTGAGTAATAATTACGATTGGTTGGTACATGTGGGCGGTTGTTCGCTGGCTGTGTCGTAGGAACGTTAAATTAGATCACAGAGCACGTTATCTGGACCCAGCTAGTGTTTATCAACGTGTTATTGAGCTAACGGCGCTGAAGTCGTCGCGTGTCTCTGGTGACGGTTGACATTAGTACCAAGTTGCTCGCCTGTCGACGTATACTGATAAAAAAACTGTAGGCTTAGCGACTATGTGCTATCAATACGTCCGGGACGGTTACGAAAAATCCGCGTATTTTACTAAAGAATTTCGTAAATAAAATTAGGTGCGTGCGTACTCTTCTTATCGTAATTTTATTTATGTGGGAAACTAAATATTAGAGAGAGAAGGTGTAACATAATTTATTGTTTTAAAAGAGATAAGTATAAAGTAGGTATGCAAGATAACGAAATGTTTAAAAAGAAAATTGGGCCGACGCTAGTATTAATAAAAATCAATGCCCATAAGCTAATCACGTTATCACGCATTTACTGTGGTAAAATATTCAGCGGACAGTCTGTAGAGCCAAAAGGCCGAACACACTAAAAAGTATTTTTGGGCACAATTTAATATTGATCGAAGTCCGAAACGGTTTTTTAATGTGCAAGGACATTGGAGATAGATGTTCAAGATTTTAATTGAAAAATAACATTCCCTAACTTCCAAGATTTCCGTGGTCCATAAACACAATATAAACAGTTTTTAGCAGATTGAACAGTACATAAGTGTTTTAAAGTCATTGCACAACCTGTACTTCTGAATTACAGTGGATTGTGGACATTATTCATCACGCAGATTACTTTACACTTTTATTTTGTTTGTTTTAATAGACAGACTGTCGCTTGGGCCACCTGATAGCGAGTAGTGACAGAAGCACAGGCGTCCTACTGCTGAAGATTGTTTAAAACCTCGTTGGAAGAAGAGCATTAAAAGGACAAAATTCAATTTAAATTTCACCACAAAAAAATTTGACAATTTGAAAATTAAAATTAAAAGAAAACAAACCGATCTATTACAGGCGAAGTAAGTAGTCATCAAAATTTCAGAATATGTGTTG